ACGAACCCCGGGCCGATTTTTTCGATTTCTTTTTTGAAAACAGACGCCGCCCGGCAGCCATTTGTTATTTGTGACTCAGGCATTATAATTAGACAATTTCTGGAGCTCCAGTTTTCTGGTAGCAATTTAGATATTTATATTATTATATTTATAGATTGTCGATGAGGAAGAAATTAATATTATGTGCATTATTTTGTTGAATAAGTTATAATTCTTGTCATGTAAGACAAAAATAGGCAGCACTCAAATTGGGCTCGTTTGTTATAATAATTCTTGCAATAAATCATAAAATATGCCATAAATTATTTGTCACTTTATAGGGTGATCATTTAACGAGAGACGTTATGATCCCAGACGACAAAGGACGTCTGATGTCTGCCCTTCAAGTGTTTAGTATATCAATCGAATATCTCAGAAAACACGTAGTGGGAACACTTTATGAAAGGTATTATTTATTTTACAAAATCGCGGTTGGTGATGATGATAATGATTATGATAATAAGGATGATGATAATAATTTTGACTACGATCACGAATAATATGACAATTATTAACATTTTTATCAATGATGGTGATCATGATGATGCTGTGAATTTTGACTACAATCACGAAGAATATGACAATTATTACAATGATATCAATGAAGATGATGCTGTGAATTTTGACTACAATCACAAAACTTATAACAATGATGACAATGATGATAATTATACAAATTGTACATTTAAACCGACGTGGATGATATTTGACCTTCCCACGGTATGAACCTATGTGGTGATATCTTGATTGGATAATTATATCCTTTAAAATGATTGGGACGTTTAAACAAGCACCAAAGGCACCGTAATTTTATTTCCAAAGCTTTTTATAAATGGTTTTCTTTTACAATTCCTATAAAGGTATTCATTTAACATAAAGCTGGACCAATTTTTGCTTCTTGGTCATTAGTTTTATATTGAATGCGATTCACGTCACACCAACACCGGAATGGTCATTTGCGACTGGACTGGTTGTAGAAAAACTCAGGTGCTGTTACGTGCATTTTTTCAGGCACTACTGGACACCGGAGTAGAACCAACGATGTTCCATAAGCTTACTGGATGCTCCGTCACATGAGGTCAAAGTCCTGGCGTAATAAGAACCTATAATATTGAGAGGCAAGTGGTTTAAAGTCAACGGCCTAAACCACTGGACCTCGGATGGCCCTTTGGTCAGTCAATTTACAAAGGGTTTAGTATTTTGTATGGAAGACATTTTACCATTTTGTTTACGTTTTGCTAATATTTTGAGTTCATCCACAGCTTCTATTTCTACAAGATAAGTATCTTAATTGTTCTAAATCAATTTCTGCTTTTTCCTCAGAGGAAAGGTCATATTCATTTCCGAGCTATAAATGACGATGAACGGGTCCGTGTGCGCACATTAGTAAAACTAGTAAAATTATACTAGGAAAAAACTAATATTTACATTCATTTTATTTGTCCAACCTTAAAGCCAGTCAAATGATATTTTACTATGGGAATATAGCTCAAAAGTTAGACAAGTTACTTTAACGTACACTTATCACTCAAATTTATTCAACCTCCTTGATTTAACAATGTTAGAGTCATATCAGGGCACAAGACAGTGATACGAGTTGGACCCCAACCCATGATCCCGTGGTAAAGAAGCAGACAACATAACCCTGCTGAGATACCACTTCCATTTAAATTTTAATCAAGGGGTCAGGATTTCAAATTTCTCTAAATTTATTCGAAACGTTTCAACATAGTTATAAAACAATAAAAACATTAAATAAAAACTGAAAGCTTTGAGCAAAATTTAGCGTTTCAACATGATAAGGTTTCCAGAAAAAAGTTTCCAGAAAAATAACTTTATTTCATACGCAAATACTTTGATTATTTTCCGATAAAATTCTTCAGTTTTGAATTATTTTCAATGATTAATGACAGCATGTTTTGAGATTGCCAGATTTAGTTAATGTAACTTGGCGTCACGTTGAGATTGCAAGTTTGATTCGTTGGTGGGAATTTTTTTTTAAACAAATAAAGGAAAATGTTTTTTAATTTGAAACAGAATGGCCGATTTAGAACCAGGTGACATTCGTTGGGTTCTGACTGTCCCTGCTATATGGAATGACGGAGCTAAACAGTTTATGAGGGAGGCTGCAGAAAAGGTTAGTCTTATTTTGTATATAAGTGTATTATCATATATACTATTAGAAATTTGTCATGTCTCAGCTGGTGCAATTATATAATCATATGACACATCCTCGCTAGTATATATCCTCGGTAGCACATGTATAATGTTAATCTAAGAAATGTAATGATTCAAGTATGTATAAGGCACTTACAATCAACATACTTGTAGCTGAAATCTGTGTAACAGAATGGACCTGGCGCTGTCGGAATATTCTTATGTGAGAACAGAACTCTACAATGACATTCTATAGAACGATATTAAAATTCGTTTAAGTTCTTACGGGCACAGACAGCACTGCGCATTCTGATGGTTAAGGCCAACCATTTGCAATGACTGTGGCAATGTGCGACTTAAATACTTGTTGCTGGGTCGTGTGGGGGTTGCTTTCATTGAACGCCGCCTTTCCTTGTTGATCTTGCTTATCATATTTTAATTAGGTCTTGAACCCTAATCCTTTATTCACTCATCTTTGGGCATAATTGTTCCAAAATTTTATTAAGTAATCTGGAGGCATAACATTCTGAGACGAATTTATTATGTTTATTTACTTAATTATACAAAAACAATTAGCCAAGTTACAATTATGAATCAATAAAATAATGACAAGCTTTTCTGTATCAATTTAGGCGGGAATCGCCAAAGAAAGTCTAATTATCGCCCTTGAACCAGAGGCTGCGTCCCTGTTCTGTATGAATCTGCCGGTCGACAAAATTCATGGAGGATCCGAAACAAAAACACCGACGATTTCACCTTTTACCAAAGGGACTCGATACATGGTCCTATATGTAGGAGGTAAGAAAAATTGACGGAGTGAAGCTTGTTATTCAAGCATTTACAGCATTGGTCTAATAGTAAGACTACAAATGAGCGGTCGCTAGTTTGATTCCTGTTATCCAAAATAAAAGCAGTAACAAGTATTTTTAATGAGACTTTGAAAAATATCGAGTTCTTAACCGCCATTTGCTTAATTAATTACACTTCAAAGAACTAGTTGCTTCTCTTGGTTAAGTAATGCACGGTTGTTGAACTTGCAACCAATAAGTCCGCCCCTATACAGTACTGTTGGCACAGTCATCTTGTTAACGCTTCATGCACAGTAAAAAGGTTAAACGTAGAAACAAATGCTATCGAGATAAATTAACGTTTGATCACATTTAACTTAATAAATATGTGGGCTTTAAATTAAGAACAGTTCATTTTAATTGTAAGGGACTTAAAAAAAAATCAAGCCACAGACAGTATATACCTGTCTTGGCAGACTGTACGAATGACTCTATACTGGTGCTGGGATAAAACTATCATGTCCCATACTGGTGGCTACGGCAAATTAATTTCCGTTAAAGGAGGTAATAGGGGGGCAAATAAACCAAAACGAGAATGTAAACCATAAATGTTTTCGCTTTTAATGTTTCTGTTTTCACACCGGTATTTTAAGATTATCCAAAGATTAGGTAAATTTATTGAAAGTTTTCATTTCTTTTATAAATACTGTAGCCAACGTAATCAACATTTTCTAACCATTCTAAATTTGTTATTTCAGGTAGGACTGTTGATATAACCATCCACGAAGTTGTAGAAGATGGTAGACGGAAAGAACTAAATTACGCAAGCGTTGTCACGTGTAGTGGAGCGGGTGTTGATGCGGCGTTTGAGAAATTTCTGCGGAGTATTGTTGGTATGAAATTCTATTGTTTTTGTTTAATTTTTGTGTCGCCTCTACGGAGTAGTGGCGACATATAGGGATCACTTCTCCGTCGTCTGTATGTCCATCTGTCTGTCCGTCTGTCCGTCACAAAACTTGTCCGGACTACTCCTCATAAACTACTGTTGCAATTTCATCCAAACTTTACAGAAATGATCAGTACCAAGTCTAGTTGTGCATATTGTCAGCATTTCCCGGTTCAATGATATTTGTCAGAGTTATGGCCCTTAAATAATTTTCATTTTTAAAGTTTTTCCGGACTACTTTTCTTATACCACTTATGCAATTCCAATGAAACTTTACAGAATTGATCTCTGGCTCAAGTCCTTGCGCATATTGCACGGGGTTTCCGGTTGAATGATGTTTGGCCGAGTTATGGCCCTTTGATAAACAGGTGTTTTTTTCTGTGTGTTGCCAGATAGTCCGGACTACTCCTCATAAACTACTGGTGCAATTTTATCCAAACTTTACAGGAATGATCAGTACCAATTCTAGTTGTGCACTGTCCGTCTCTCTGTCCGTCTGTCACAAAACTTGGCCCAAACTGAAATTGGCCATCATGAGGCGACACATGTGATCACTGATCGCTCTTGTTTTGTGAAGATGTTATGTTACAAATTAAAATTGATGCATTTTAAGGGCTGAATGTATTGCTTAATGTATTTTTATTGTGTTTTTACTTTTAACTAATTTCATTCTTTTATCTGTGTCTGTTCCCAAATGTTTTGTTTACTAATGTTATTTCAAAATAATACGTCTGTTACTTCCTTATCTTTTCACTTCTTGTGAAGATTTGTATGGAAAATAACAAATTTAATTCAATAGCAAGAGTAAACCTTAAAAATTTCTGTCTCAAGTAAACAAGATGGGGATGTCTTTTCTGCTTTTGTGAAAACAAGTTTCAATCTTAATGCATTCAAAATAGATTCATGGAAGGAAAGAGATGGGATGTTCCCGAATTAATACGCAGTATTGATTGAAATAATAGTTTCAGACCATATGAAATAAGCAACATGTATATAAGTCACGAACAGTTATAATTTTTGTATGTTAAAGGTGTTGATAAAGAAAGCCTTTTTTTGTTATAGATACCGACACACAGAAGGACAAATCCGTTTTCGACAAGTTCATGCAGGAGGCCAAAGAAGATTGGGTTGACCTATTTAGAGAGTTTGAGACTAAGAAGAAAGGGATAAAAGGAAAAGGAGTTGGTGATGAAAGGTCAAAAGAGACAATTAAAGTCCCACCTAGTCTTGCTGAAATTTTCAAAGATGTAACAGGCAAAAATCTTAAAGACTTTATCAAAACAAAAAAAGAGTATGCCGACAAGGTCGCGTTGGCTGGCGACAAATTGAGAGTCGAAGCAGGAATATTTAGGTCATGGTTCGATGAATCTTGCAACAACATAGTAAAGCATGTAAAAGAGATTTTTAAACAGAAAGCCAGCAAAAACACGAATTCAATTCTTTTAGTTGGAGGGTTTTCAGAATCGCCGTTACTTCAAGACGCTATCCGAACCAATTTTCCTGACAAGAGACTTGTCATACCAGAAGAAGCTGGTTTAGCTGTCTTGAAAGGGGCTGTAATATTTGGACATAATCCTGTGACAATTGTCTCGCGCATTGCAAGGTGCTCGTATGGTATCCTTGTCTATCGAGATTTCCAAAATGGCGTCCATCCGGCGAACAAGAAAGTAACGATTGATGGAAAAATAAAATGTAAGGATGTGTTTGATGTCCATGTTAAAAAGGGACAGGAGCTCGTTGTGGGGGAGGCGCAATCCAAACAACGTTACACGCCCCTTGAAGCAGACCAGATATCTTTAGTTTTTGACATGTATACATCAACTGACGCAGAACCACTTTTTGTTACGGATGTCGGAAGTACGTATGTCGGCCAACTGGAAGTGGATGTTCCGGATCTTTCTGGCGGGAAAGATCGCGGTGTGTTTGTTCAAATGATTTTTGGCGGGACGGAAGTGGTCGTAGAAGCCTGGGAGGAAAAGACAAATAAACTTACGAAAGCAAAGTTTGACTTTTTAATGAGTGATGAAAATGCAAGTGACTCGTGCTAATGTGAAGATGTACAGGTATCTAGATTATGAAAACCAAGGACTTTTCATGTCTTGAAAAATGGTAATAATATATTCCTTCACATCATGTTTAAAGAAAATTTATGTTTCAATTCAAAACAATATCACATTTTCAAAAAGAACAAAGAATAACAAATGTGAATATACTTATTTTGATGGTCAAGCTATTAATGTCTCATTCAGATAAGAAAACAAAATGACCGTCAATAAAGTAGACAGGCAGTTTAGGAATTTTTATTATTAAATCTTAATTATACATGAACATTATTATATTTATATTGTTGTTTATAGAAAGAAACAGACAAAAGAGAGAGATTTATTTGGTCATGACAGTCTTTTTTTCATTCACCACTGGAAAAATATATTATCACATTTAAGATTACTGAAATTGTTAATTGATCGAGAACAACTCAAAACAAAGGGAGACAATCGCACAAAGGAAAACCGTAGAACCGATAAGCGTTCTCCAGGAGAGGTATACGTTCTTGGCATTTTTGAGTTGCAGTGAAAGTTAGGCATTGATCAAGTTGTGAATCTGCCATTGTTAAGCGGCCATAGTTAAGGCCGCTTACTTTTCTTCCCTGGCACTAAGTTGGATATCGTTGCTGATCTAATAAAATAATTGAGGAGCACAAGTGTGTGGATTTTTCTTTATCAGTTAAAGTTGCACGTTACCTTAAAATGTTGATGTTATTTAGTAATTTCAATTTTTATAAAGTTCATTGAAAACGTTTACCTGAACGTACTTTCGAGAGTTGAGAGTTTCTGAAAATTTCATTTATAGACGATGTCCCTTTTTGAGTTCCGTGCTGTTTCAGGTTCAACAGTTCGTAAATAAAACCTCAAATATCGCAATTGTATCGATCACTGTCGAGGAAGCATGGTATATAAAAAGTTCAAAACATTTATCGCCGACCGGTTTTGATTCAGTTTTCTATTTTCCCGACATACTTCCGCAGGTCAATGTATTTGTTACATGTCTAGGTGTTATTTCGGGAATAAATGTTATTACCAAGAAAGCTTAATGAGTTTATTTTGATATTAGATCCCAGAACTTTGAAGCAGTTTCTAGGAAAGCGGTAAAACAAGCCCATTTGCTTTACCCTCGTTTTGAAAACAGACTTTTCTTTACTAAAACAGCGTCCCATACTTTTTTAATTCGACCACAGATCGGTAGATGTAATACTATTTGATGTAGCATATATTTTTTCTTTCTTGGCGTATCCACAAAAAAGAGAAAAGATTAAGCCATCAATAAGTTTCAAGTATTCATACTTGAATACTATTTAATCACCCTTATTGTTATTATGATTATTATTATTACTTTAATTATTGTTATTGTTATTATTATTATTGTTATTGTTATTATTATTATTATTATTATTATTATTATATTGCCTGCTTTTGAACAGCTTGAGCTTGTCCGTGATATAAAGGCTTCATAACCTCTGACTCTCTCTTACAAACATTCCATTTTTCGTCCATTGCATTTTCATTTCAAGGTTTTGTCGACCTTGTTTTGACACATTGAAATTCCCATGAGTAATTCTGTATTAAAAGATCTGCGGATGTTTCTTTATTTCAAAATTTCACCATTTTATGTTAAATGTCGAATTCTGCCGAAGCCGGTGCTATAGAAAGTACATGCAACTTTCATTTACCACTTCCGTCCATGAACAGGCTCAATAAAACCGAGCCTGCACCCTTTTGTATTTTGTAATTTCGGACGTTCTTAAGGGATTCCGTTTTTACAGTCTTCATATTTGTACGAGATTTTATTAATGACCTGTAAACGATCTCTATTGATCTACAGATCAGTGGGTCAAGTTGACTGTGACCTTCACTATGCAAAACTTGTCCGTTCAATAACTGAGAACACTTAATGTTAATGAGAAAACTTTTCCCTATGACTAGATCAATAAAGAATTGACGAACTAAGAAACGATACGGCCAAATTGGGGCCTCCGTGGCCGAGTGGTTAAAGTCGCTGACTTGAGATCACAGGTCCCTCACCGCTGTAGGTTCGATCCTCACTCGGGTCGAAATCTATCATGTGAGGAAGCCATCCAGCTGGCTTACGGAAGGTCGGTGGTTCTACCCAGGTGCCCGCTCGTGCTTGAAATAATGCCCGGAGGAGCACCTGGGGTCTTCTTCCACCAATAAAGCTGGGGAAAAATCGACGAAAAATCTCGGCGGGACGCTCTAGGATGGCCCGACTTGAGTGAACGGTCGCCCATATGGGCTTTCTGGCGGCGACCTTAAATAAACGCATAAAAAAAGATACGGCCTATAATCTTCATGTTGATCATGACCTGGAGATGACTTACGAGATCAAGGGCACGGTTGCTATAGTAAACTTAACCAAAACGTAAAATAATCACAGATAGATAGTTTACAGTCTTCTGATTTGATAGTTGATCAGGTTAAATATATTTCAGTTTCAATGAATACTCATATGTTGGTTGAATAAATTAGATAATCTATATGTAACTTGTCTGTGATAAAGAAATGTTTTGTTCTGATATTGTCGTTGGTAACATAATTGTTTGGTTGTCGTTAGGAGGGATACATTCTCCTTAGACATTTCTTGTTTCATTTGGAATCTCGTGATTAATATAATTTTGCTACACCTGTACATGGCTATGCCAAGTAATTACCACATTGTTGTGAAGAAATATGTCGCTTTGTTATTTTGTAAAATGAATGCCATTCATAAAATGCATTGGAGCAATGTCCTGTTTGTTATCTGAATTGTTTAGATAACACTTTGAATATTTTGACATTTTTATCTATGAGTTTTATGTCTATTGCCTTTTATAATTGCAATTCAGTTACATACGAGTCAAATGGTACAAACCAGCGTTCTTCTCAATCAGAACTCCTCGACGTTTATTCATAATAATCTCATATTTAATACGGATAGAAAGTAGTTCTACCATGTGGTTTTAGATGGAAACAAAGTCAGAGAGTGTAATCTTTGTATACTTACAGTACTTACAGTGTATAAAAATGTTATTTGTTTACATGTTTAATCTCTAAGAGTAGGTTAGACTGAAATAACATAACATAACATAACATAACATAACATAACAAACATAACATAAACATAACATAACATAACATAACATAAAATAACATAACATTACATTGCATTACATAACATAACATAACATAACAAACATAACATAACATAACATAACAAACATACATGTAACATAACATAGCATTACATTACATTACATTACATAACATAACATTACATTACATAGTATTTCATAACAAACATAACATAACATAGCATTACATAAATTTGCATACATACAATTTACAGTCATTCAGATAGTGTGTGGTGTAAAGTGTTATAAGTTACAGTTAGCCGAGAAGTATTGTTGACAAGTATGAGCAAATCTTATGACATATCTAATAAAGTTTGCATAAAAATACTTATAAGAAACAAATGTACTTAAACAAATTATAAAAAATATTTGTAAACGTTGCCGAGAAGTATTGTTGTCAAGTATAAACAAAGGTTAAGAGTATTCATAAAAATACTCATATATGTAAGAGATATTTGTAACGTTGCATTATATCACTATCCACAAATCAAACGCCAATTATAATATTTCTAAGATGACATGACCGTTATATATGTACAAAGCATTTGTTGTCGTAGTTATCTCCCTTTTACCAGTAATCATAAGAAAAAAAGAGTGTTACTGGATATTGAAAAGTTAAAATCTAAGTTTAAATACTTGTCAGATTATTAATTTTTTGATACTTGTGCTTGCCAGTAGTGTTTCGAATTTTTGCATTGTAGGCCACCTACATAAGTATGGTTTGGAAAACGTTCTACGTATTAATAAGAAATGAAATTCTGTTTCTACCAAATTTAATGGACAATTTCGATATTTTCTGTTTTCTCTTGAATTATTATCGTGCCTTCCTTTTTCTATTTCCAGATTGTGGGCTGATAGTCTAAATTTGGTTTAAATAATCATATGGCTATCTTTTCTATAAAGCTTAAATACTTTTCACACTGAAATTCGTGTTTAAAATGACTGTAAGACGAAAGTCTGTTACCGTATCCCTTCTGTGTATTTCGATGCCCTTATCCGAAAACTGACGGAAAGGACCGAAAAATTGCGATTGCGTTTTTCTACCAGCTCTATCCTGTTGCCAACTTCGGGAAACAGACGAATATTCTACAGTGTATTATCTTCATCAAAGTTCTGTTGCTTAAATCCTTAGTCTTTAACCAAACATTACATTTTAATGTAACAGTGTAAAAAGGTTCATTCTAAATATATATTAAGTGTTTACAAGTACATCTGATTTGAATTAATGACAGTGTCGGAAGTCTTGAACACTTTAGAAAATTGAACTCAAGATTGGAATAAGATCAAGAAAAGAGTTATACATCATCATTATAAATTATCGCCTTCAATTATGTCAGAAATGTAAAACTGGATCTGAAATTACTTGCAGAAATGTTTGAGTTAATTTTTCTTTACGTTCTTCACTAGTGTTTATGTGTTATGTGAGATATTTGACATGTAGCAGTTCCTATAAGTCCTCTTTAAAATAAGTGGAAATATGTTTTTGTGTACATAATGCCCACTCTGTCACTTTGTTTAGATATTTTGACTCATTAATTTGTCTGAATCCTCGTAAACGTTAGCTTAATATTTAGCATGTGTCATTCGCGTGCATAGTGTTTACATTGTGTATGTTTTTTTTAGGAAAACATTAGATGTTGACCTTTAACACAATCTGACTAAAGCTGATGACTTATTCGGATTTCCAAAGAAAGCTATTTTAGCCACACAATCAAACTAGTTTTATATAGGTATTAGAAGTATAAAAGTACCGTTTTCTGTGCTTAAGCAAATTGTTGATTTTTGTTGAGAAAAATGTTTGAAGTAATTTTTAAAAAAAGAACTTTAAATAATAGAGTAAATTTTTAATGGGCAAGATTGTTTTGCCAGTTTACCTGTCGGCTATACGGACAACGCCATGCTTGTCCTCGAAATCGTAAAAATTGCTTACTCAGTATTGGCCCGGTTATAAGAAAATTAAAGAAATCACATCGCTTTCAAAATTATGAAAGCTCGCCGATGATTGGCTCAGAAATGATTTCGTATTTAAAGCGGAGCGTTATTTAGCGTGATTTTAATCAAGTTGACCTTTAAGATAAAATTAAAATTATTTGTATGATTTATTCAATGAAATATATTTTTTCTTCAATATTAAGCTACTTTGACTAATGTGGCAGCATTATTTGGGCGTTATTCAATAAATATAATTGATCAAAACAGGCTAGGAATATTTTCGTCAAGCTCGCTATGAATTCTTGTATCATTTACAAAATGAAGCGAAATAATGTGGTAATAAATGCCCACATATACATAGTACCAGAGATAGGGGCCATTTATTTCTAATTCATGTCCAGAAGAATAATTAGTCTCATTTGAAAGCAAAAATGTGTACAAATAAAAACATTTATTTCATGCTTTCCAGTTATTTTATTGTAATATATCAGATGATTATATTCTGATAAACCACTAGTGAAATTTATAAAATATAATTTTCACTGTAGCCGGACTATATCTAAATGCGGATGAAAAAAAAAATTAACTAAATGGAATAACAGGCAGAAATAAATTCCGTCATACGTAAATTTTGCTTCTTTAGAAAAGAAAGTCTGTCACCATACATCATGTTAAAAATGTAACAAAATTAGAAAAATTTAACAGAACTATATTTCAAAATCGATGATGTGACGTCATGAATTGATGACGTCACAAAGGAGAATGCGCGACGTTACGCGGCAAAATCAGTAAAAAATACTTAAAATCATTTAAAAAGCATGAAATAAAAAGAAAATTTATTTGTTTTACATATAAGATAGAATTTTATTTCATTCGTAAACACCAGCTATTATTTTCACTCGTGGCTACGCCACTCGTGAAAATATTGCATCTGGTGTTCACTCAGTGAAATTATATTTCAATCTTACATGCAAAACAAACAAATATCCTCTATTTCTTAAAATCCTCCTTTACAATCAATTGAAATCCAAGATGGCCACCAAGATGGTTGCCGAACTTTAAAAATGCTTTTTTTCTGATATAACCAATATTGATAAACCTATTTGTGTAACCGCATCCTCTCTGTGACATGATAGAGAAGCAGTATCATTGCGTTCGCGTTGTTGTTATTCTCTGTAGTAGAAAACATCTTGGGTTTCTAAAATATTGAGATGGGCCTAAAATTGAAAATTATTGCACAGAAAAATACAACTGCGTTCGTTCAAATTTGTTAAGTTATTTTCCGTTTCGGTTATCCACGAAACGAATTTAAATACGGAAATGACAAACATCAAATGAAAAATTTGAAAAGTGGTTAATTCTTCAGGCTACTTAAAAGATGAGCTAAATTTAGAAAGGATCTAATGTTAGATGATACCTATTTTTTTTGCGCACGATTTAAGCAACTTATACATAATATATTGTATTACACTTCATTACAAAGTCATGGCTGAAGTAAACTTTGAATTTGAATTCATTTCTGACCAATCTAACGGTATGGGTCTTCGATTTCTGCAAAACAAAAGTAAATACCACAACAACAACAACAATAACAACAACAAAAGCAACAGCAGCAGCTTTAGGTTTCCCTACGAGTATTGTTTTAGACATGGACGCCTAACACCTTAGAAGAACCACCGACTTCTCTTCCTGAAGCTAGCTGGAGAGCTTCATCACATGAAAGATTTAAATAATAATGATGATGATAATGATGATGATGATAATGATGATTATGATGATGATGAGAAGAAGAAAAAGAAGAAGAAGGAGATGATGATGTTATTATGATGATGATGATGATGACGATGATGATGATGATTCAGACAAGTGAACCATATTTTAAGCATATATACGTTAAGTCTATATTAACATAACACATTTTCACATTCCAGAATAATAATTGGAGAGGGCGGTGAAAAAATAGATAAATTAAGAATCACTAAAGAAAGCCAAACACGGCAAAATTGAAAATGTTGCAGGCTCGGTTTGATTGAGCCTGTTCGTGGAAGGTACTGTCAAATGCAAACTACCGTCCACGCCCCCTAGCACCGGCTTAAGCAGAAATTCAACATTTAACATGCACTGGTACAATTTGGAAATTTAAAACATCCGCAGATATGTTCATATGGCGGTTATCACAAAACCCTCAATTTGACACGTTAGTGGCCATTCCATGAAAAGCGGCATATCGTCTCCAAGTAAAAATTTGCGTGTGCCCTAAACGAGAAAACAATGGGCGTAGCTAAATAAAATGGAATTTTGAAAGGGGATCAGATGTTATGAAGCCTGCATATCACAGATTTGGAACCACCTAACACGAAAATAGCTGAAAAGAAAGAACTAAATTACAACAAGCACGTATAATGTCGTGCTGAACGATCTTGCATTGACTATATTATTGATGCTATTGTGTAAGTCATATACATGTACATGTATTCGTATTTAAGAAGGCCTTTGTTGCAAAAGCACCACGTGAGTCTGTCACACATTGATATTCCCATGACCTCAATACGTAGGGTCAAATTGTAGTCTAAATGCTACTTCGCGGTAAAAAAAAATGCATGTCACAGGTATAGATTTTTTTCCCTATCTCATCGCTATACATCAATATATAAAATTTAATACGTCTCAATTTAAAGCATTATGACCGCTGAGATTGTAAAACCCCCGCAATCGATTCCTGCATACATGAACTCCTTATTCAGATGATTTTTCTAGGAACGCACATGTGGTGTGACCATAACCAGTGGGACTATTACAGGTCAAATGTAAACAATATGATTAATTGAAAAAGAATTACCATTTCCGCTGTGTAGTTTGGTTTATAATCAACTCCTTTAATTAATTAAATCAATTATAATTATACACAGTACTACAAAATAAACGGTTATATACATGTCCACATTTGCTGTTTTGTTACGGTTGAAACGTTCATTTGAATCTGTCATCCACGATAGTTTCAAAGAAAATATAGACGATGCTCTGACCTTTGAGGGCAAATCTAGGAACCACAAATCCTTATATCGGAAGTTTAAAGGCGACACAGGTGTCAAGGCTATAAATTGATGGTTAATTGAAATGTGTGGTTAGGGCAGGAAGATCAAAAGTTCATAGTAATTTAATGTTTCATCACAATAACACTGGCGGCGATACGGATCAGTATTTCTAATTGGTTGGTTAGTAGGCGCTCTGCTTGGCGAATTTTGTGTGCGCGACAACTTCTCTTTCCATTAAGATCATTTGTAAGCATCCGTTGAAAGGCTTAATTATATAAGGGGTTATAAGGGAAATAAATGAAGAGATAAAAAGCTATTAAAACAAGTTTTTTTCCACGTGAAGACTATGGATAGAAAGCATTGTAGGAGCACATTTGTCTCGGAGCACATTTGTCTCACGAAGTGTGACCGATGTGTTTGTAAACATTCATATTTGCGACAAATTGAAAATGAGACAGATGTGTTCGACACACAATAGAAAGAACACTCGAAGCACATTTGTCTCACTTTTTTTCCATAAAATTCTTAACAGGTAATAATTATGTCCAACTTTATACCGGCTACCAGCCATTGTTCTGTGTTTTCTGTGAGCAGGGCTGGGAATCAAAACTGCGTCGTATCCTACAAAATGTAAACAAACGCCGCCATCTTGGAGCGAAAAATGTATGTTTTTGTTTATAACTCTTTTTGTTGGAAATGACTGAAAACAAGATATATGTATTAACTCGCTACACTATTTTCCGCTTCGTTCGGTATATGTTGCTTGCACAACTATTTTGTAAAACAATAGTTATAGCGAACTTGCAACTCGAAGCGGGGCAGAATTTTTATGAGAATGTGTGGATACGACGCAGTTCATATTGCTTTATCTATCGTTTTTTCCTTCAAATCAATTATATACTCGTTTTCAGAGTTCAACATCAACTTCAAAACATAATTTTGCATCATTTACTAAACTTTCATTTAAAAGAGATGTTTATTTTCCAAGAAAATAATGATTTTTACGAAATGATACGACGCAGTTGAAAATAAAATATGATACGACGCAGTTGTATTTTCATTGCAGGCTGAATATTGGTTAAACTATTTAAATTATGTGCTAGGTATGGTTATAACGTCCAACAACATTTCTTGTTTGGTCACTCATTGGTTTCATTAAAATGGAAATGTAATACAATTCTATTAAGGCTGCATTTTTCGGTCGCATTTTAGTACTAATCATAAGCATCTACAGATTCCGAAAAGCTGTATCAAATGCAATATACATTGAAACACGTGATCGCACACCCATATAACAACGTGTTCTAGTGTTGCCTTAGCATGCTTATAAACTTGTTCCCGTGAGTTCGAAATGGAAGTGATTACTATTTTTGATACAAAATTCAATATTCCAGTGTAACCTCTCCTGGACCCTGTATTAATCAGGAATGGCCTCTTTTTTTTAAAAAAAGAGAAAGAAATACAAATTTTGAAAAGGTCTCTCGCTATCGGGAATGCGCAAATTGCATGCCTACCTTTGTTACTTGAAATTAGCAATAATTTCCGTCAATTCCTTTATTACTTAATATGTCTTTTATGTGCCGATTTTATTGTATTCATTTTCTTAATAATCGATGAGAACAGATGAGCTTTATTATTTGAAACTGAACATTAAATTTTTTAAATTATATTATAAATGGTTAAGCTACAATATATTTTTGCAAGTAGGTTATGCGTTCCGTTTAGTCATTTTATGTTCAGCGCCGCAGAACTTTATCCCTGATTTTGTCGTATTGAGTTTCTTTATCGCCGATGAGGAAAGGTCTACGGAATGTATTTTCTATATTTGCACTTAAGTATCATACTTCTCCATCATTTTCAAAATCGAGTTACATATGATACAACTACAAATTATTTTGTAAAAAGTGTCCGTTTTGCAAAGGTATTTTACGCTATGCACCGGTAAATTTGATACATATATAAAATAGGCAGACATGATCTTTCAACAGTATTGAAGAATTATTAAGTTTTCACAATATTGAACAGAAAATTTAGGTCAGATTATCGTATCGAATTTTCAACAGACTAGAGACATGACATCTTAACATACCTTCATACTAAAGTGTGATTTTTATTTGATAATGAATTGCCTGAAAACTTAAACAAAAGTTTTCAGAAAATGACTTCACAGAGGATTACCCCCTGTTTACATTGAAAATTTCTCTGCTAGTCATACCGAAATAAGAAATTTAAATTTCATTCTCTTCATAATTAATTCAAATATTTATAATCTTAAAACTTCAGGTCAGAAGTTAATAAAAAGCTGCTTATGTGTACAGCTGACGTTAACAAATTTTGTTGAAAAAAAAAAACAAATCAGACAGGTGTGTCCGACCGAGGCCGAGCTGTTTATGTTTACTGAACTCAAATCACTTGAACTGAACTGCTATGAATTCGAAAAACACCAGGGACTTTTTATTCTTTCGTGTGGAAAACCTATCAAGCTAGTTTCAAAATGTCGATGGTTCTCTGCAAGTACAACATTTTTCCTGAAATAATTCACAAAGGCGCACCTGAGGTCCTCGCCCCTAGTAAAGCTAATGTGTAGAGTGAAAGTTTGAAAAGAAACCACAAAAAAGCAGTCATTACCCAGAACATGCAGAACCACAGTTAACTTAAAGCGTAGCTAGCCAAAATGAATTCAAGTTAATAGATTTCTACATTTTTTTTTTGCGAAAAAAATAGGGATAATATTGAACATACAGGAAAATATAAGAAATTATTTCAGATATTATGATCAATAAGGTAACATGTTCATGTTTAACTGAAAGTAGCTTCCGCAATGTAAACTTTCGAATTAAATGTTATATTGGACATGACACATTGTATTCTAAATAATCAAAAGCAACATAACATTGCTATACACCTCAAATGATCTGGGGTTTTTTATCTAGCGCAAGTGATTATTCCATAAAATAGAAGAGTATTGCCAAAATTATCCCTGTTGAAAAGACTGCCAAAAATACAACTGCGTCGTATCATATTTTACATTTCGTAAAAATCATTATTTTCTTAGAAAATAAACAGCTCTTTTTAATGAAATTTTAGTAAATGATGCAAAATTAAATTTCGAAGTTTATGGTGAACTCTGAAACAAATATATAATTGATTTGAAGGAAAAAACGATAGATAAAGCAATATGAACTGCGTCGTATCCACACATTTTCATAAAAATTCTGCCCCGCTTCGAGTTGCAAGTTCGCTATAACTTTTGTTTTACAAAATAGTTGTGCAAGCAACATATACCGAACGAAGCGGAAAATAGTGTAGCGTGTTAATACATATATCTTGTTTTCAGTCATTTCCAACAAAAGAGTTATAAACAAAAACACACGCTTTTCGTTCCAAGATGGCGGCGTTTGTTTACATTTTGTAGGATACGACGCAGTTTTGATTCCCAGCCCTGGTGAGTGCAGCATCCAGAACCTAAATACATATGCAGCAAGTCTATTCTCATCGTTATCAATTGTGATGCGTCTATTTTCAATGCCTAAATTTTTATAGATGATTTATGGCACTAGCAATATTCTTAGCAAAAACAAGGTGGTATCTACGGTGGCATAAAGGGGACATAGAATTTTCTTTTTTATTACGTGCGCACACAATAGTTTTTCCGTGGCCACGCGATACTTTTTACGTGCGCACGCGATAGCTATTACGTGCGCACGCGCATATGTATTGCGCATTTGCAGTGGCGTAGCGCAGGCAAAAGTATTTACACGCCTTGGGGTGGGTTAAGGGAGGGGGTGGCCCCCTACCTTTGTAAATGGGAGGGGGTTCGGGGGTCTTCCCCCGAGGAAATTTGGATTTATAGATGCAAAATAACGCAATCTGGAGACATTTGACAACATATGTAAGTCCCTTCTTTTGAAGTGATAAAGAAACATTTTTCATTAAAGCGCCTATAATATAACTATAACATTTAGCGCGTCTTAGCATTATGTTTAAGTAACGCAAATGATGTCTTGTCAACATATTTGCCAGTGCAATACCATTTTTACGGAGTCGCAAAATCGGCACGGGTATATGATAAATTTCATGATGATATTTATGCCAAGATGATTATTCTCTGAAGACAAATGCAAGGCGGCGTTGTTTTCTTGCAGCAAATTTATCAACTATATGACTAGATTAAAAAAAAATGAAAAAAGATTAGCAAAAAAGGAGAAAATTGAAAAAAAAGAATTTAAATGAAAAATAAAAACTGATCGTGTCGCTCTTACTGTTAGAAGAATGCAATATAAATAAAAAAAACAAAAAGAAAAAAAAGTGAGAGTATAAACTACAGAATGAAAGAAAAAGTATAAAAAAATTATTTTTAATTTGTAGAACCGACGAAAGACAGGACCGGAACAACGACTTTGCTTTAGCCAAGACATGCAATGGATATAAAATTATTTTTAAAACCCAAAACTCAAAACTACTTTTTTAAAGCACGACTTTCCCATTTATTAAGCACAATTTGTGCATATATAACATTTGTAACTCAATTAATAGATGTAACTTTTTCTTCAAACCCATGATTCTTATTAGGCCCATTTAATTTTTTTGTTTAAATAAATATTTTCCTTGTCACCAATCTTACAGGTGTTCTAATAGAAAGGAACAGGGCAAAAACACAACTACATGTGATGGGTTCAACAAAACTACTTCATATCAATGGCAATTTATCCCTTCACATGTTACCTTTGAGTATATTAAATGGATTTGGTACTAAAATGCAAAGTAATGGGTGTATGGCAAAGATAATCTTACATGGCAGGAGTGGGCAATAAAATTTTGGGATGGATCTTAAATTTAAGGGATTACCTACCACTAAAACAACGGGAAAATTAGGGTGTCCTACAAATAATAATTAAATTTGTTGGGAGTATAAATGTATAACTTACAGAGGGTTTTGGAGGGTCACTAAGCACATGATCTGTAGGAACTGATGTACTGGGGTAGGAGAACATGGTTGTGTACTAGGATGTTGATGAGTTAAATTCCATAAAGATAGTGGCTGAAAATAAAACAGGGAAATATATACGATAAATTATATTTTGAGAAATATTGTGAATGGAACACAACTTTGTGCAAAGGTTAACCAATGTCTCTCGCATAAGGGATGTTTTACATGAAGCATTAAATTGTGCAATTTCAAGTAGATTGAAGTATGGATCTGGACTTTTAGTGCAAAATCTTGATCAATGCTTGATCTGCACATGCAACAATGAATTCATTAAAGGAATAGAATGAAATAAGCCCTTTGTCAACAGAAATACATTTGTATAGTTATTATCACCATTTCAAAAAAAAAAAATGTGACAAATATAAAATTAATTTAATCATTCAAGGAATTTTAAAGGAATTTTAATTACTGGGCACAAATGCTAACAATAATGAGACAATGTGTTGTGCACAACACCCCAATGTTTACTTCTAAGATCAAGGTCACACTTGGAGGACAAAGTTTAACATATTCTGTAACAGTATATATTTTGTGTCTAGTCCTAACATTTTCATCATCATGGTATATTTCAGAAAATATGTCCATTGTAGATAAATCCACATTAATTTAATGTGTTTTCTACTCAAAAGATAAATGAGCCGCGCCATGACAAAACCAACATAATGGGTTTGCGACCAGCATGGATCCAGACCAGCCTGCCCATCCGCGCAGTCTGATCAGGATCCATGCTGTTTGCTATCACTTTCTCTACTTGTTATAGGGTATGTAAGCGAACAGCATGGATCCTGATCAGAATGTGAAGGTTTATGTTGTAAAATATTTCCAGTTTTCGCATTTTTTATAATTTGTTGCAAACGGTACCTGATTTAGAACCATGGACGTACTGTAAGCTTGCCTGGATAATTTGGGAAAAAAAATGAAAAAAATAACTAATTAAATGAAAAAAAACAAAAAAAATTAAAACAACAAGAAATCAATCAACAATGGAAAAGAAAAATATGTATATGTTACATGCCATTTGCCTTATAAGCTCATTCTCAAATTTCATATATATTTCTATTATTATTCTATAAAATTGCTTTAAAGATCCTATATGTTTTTGATGATTGATATTGGGTTACTGTTGTGTATACCACACTTGTGCAAAAAATTATATATGTATATAATTATGCAAATAAAACAATTTTCAAACATCGAGGAACAATAAAATGTGTACTGCAATATATTTGTGCACATTATATTTAATCAATAAATTGACATGAATTCATTTTTTATTGAAAAAATTTGATTTAGAATTTTATAGAAAATAAATTCCCCCTAAATTTTTGTAACCTCCCTTTATTAAGACATGAATGTTAAATTGGTAATATCTTTAAAAATAATGCTTATTTGAACTTGAAATATTGACAAATCTTAGTTAGAGCATCATATTTATAAAATAAAAACCATGAAAAATTGAGTGACAGGATCTTTAATTGCAGTCACATATTCTTATTGTTCAGCTATTGTCTGGAAAGTGTTTGCTTTTTGGCAATTCTTGATTCTTCATAACTTAAATTATTATATCAAAGTACTTATTGTAAAGTAGGGAAGCAAAATAAAATGTTAATCATTGCCTTATTGTTCCGAATTCAGTATAATATATTATTCATCAACAACACTATTTTGCAATTTAAGATGATTTAAACAGCAAGTGTCAAGTGCAGCGTGGCATCTAAAAACATTGTCAAGTACTTCAGTGTTGATGTATTTTTATCCTTCGGGATCCATTGATTCCAGCTCAGATTTGTTGGTTAGTGTTTACTAATGACCTTCCTTGAAGATAGAAGATTTCAAGTATCTATATCAGGTTGTAAGCACATCTTATTGTAATCAGTCCTGATTAGTCCTATATTCAGGTCAAGTCTCTTTAAAAAGACACTAGCTATTTTGCCCTCTTCATTAAATGTTTGAATTGGGAGTCAAAGAGAGTGGCAGGTGCAAAACTATCTCAAATATTTGTTGATGTCATAACAGTTATAAGTCAACGGAATGATTTACTATCAATGTTGTATCAACATTCCTCTTAACAAGAGGGCCATAATGGCCCTAGATCGCTCACCTGATTTATCAAACTTATCCAAACAATTACCTAGACAAGCATTCTGACCAAGTCTCATGACAGGTGAGTCAAAAATGTGACGACACTACAGCTGTTAAGCAGGATTATGCCATATTGGAGCAGTGCGACTAGTTTTTTTACCCAGGTGACACATATTCAAACTTGACCTAGAAATCTCAAACACTAACTTTTAGACCAAATTTCAAGGATACTTGGATCAAAAAACAGTAGCACTAGAGTTTAACAAATTTTTCTATTTTAGCTCCGGGGACCTAGTTCCACATGGATGCGATTTGAACGTCACTCAAGCAATTAACCTATACAAGGCATCCTGGACCAAAGTTTGATGATAATTGAGTCGAAAATGTGACGCACTAGAATGTTAACGAAGGTTTTTCCATATGTTGGGCGGTGGTGACCTAGTTTTTTCAATCCAAGATGACCCAATGTTCGAACTTGACTAGAAATCATCAAAAACAAACTTTCAGACCACATTTAACAGAAATATTTTGATCACAAATAGCCACTGAGTGTTAACAAGATTTTTCTATTATTTAGCTCCGGTGACCATAGTTCCACATGCGATTTCGAACTCATCCAAGGCAATTACCTATAAAGCACATCTGACCAAGTTTGATGAATAAATTGAGTCAAAAATGTGACCAATAGAAATGTTAACAAAACAAAAAAAAATAACAAAACAAACAAGGTTTTTTCCATATTTGGGCGGGTGACCTAGTTTTTTTCATCCAATGATGACCAATGTTCGAAACTTGACTTAGAAATAAATCATCAAAACAAACTTTCAGACCAATAAAGCCAGAATATTTGGATGCACAACAGTAAGCCACTGAGTGTTAACAAGATTTTTCTATTTTTAGCTTTCCGGTGACCTACTTTTCACCCGAGATAACCCATGTTTCAATTCTTTCCCAGCAATGACCTAGACAAGTTTCCTGACAAGTTTGATGATCAATTGAGTCAAAATGTGACCACTAGAGTGTTAACAAGGTTTTTCTATTTTTAGCTCCCTGTGACCTAGTTTTTCATTCGGGGATGACCCATGTTCGACACTCATCCGAGCTAGCACCAAACAATGCATTCTTGACCAAGTTTTGATGATGATTGATGCAAAAATGTGACCGTAGAGGTGTTAACAAGGTTTTCTATTTTAGCTCCGGTGATCTACTTTTTTCATCGAGATGACCCATTTTCAACATACATCCCGAAGCTATCAAACTAGATAAAGCATCCTGACCACAGTTTGATGATGAGATGCAAAGAATGGACCTCTAGAGTGTTAAAAAGGTTTTTCTATTTTTAGCTCCGGTGACCTACTTTTCATCGCGAGATGACCATGTTCGAACTCATCCGAGCTATCAGCCTGGACAAGCATCTTGACCAAGTTTGATAGATGATTGTGCAAAAAATGCTGAACCGCTAGAGGTGTTAAAAGGTTTCATTTTTAGCTCCGGTTGACCTACTTTTTCATACCGAGATGACCCATGTCGAACTCAAATCCGATGCTAATCACCTAACAAACACCTGACCAAGTTTGATCATGATTGAGGCAAAAATTGTGACGCTCTAAGTGTTAACAAGGTTTTTTCTCTATTTTAGCTCTTTGACCTAGTTTCTCTCATCCGAAGATTGACCCATGTTCGAACTCAGCTGAGCTTATCAACTAGATACGCATCCTGACCAAGTTTGATGATATATTGGGGGAGGCAAAATTGACCGCTAGAGTGTAACAAGGTTTTCTATTTTTAGCTCCCGGTGACCTATCTTTTTCTTCATTCATATATTTATGGCCGAATGACCATGTTCGAACTCACATCGAGCTAATCACCCTGGACAAGCATCTTGACCCACAGTTTGGATGAATGATTGATGCAAAAATGTGACCGCTAGAGTGTTAACAAGTTTTTTCCTATTTTTATGCTCCGGGTGACTCTACTTTCATCCGAGATGAACACATGTTCGAACTCATCCAGCTATCATCGTAGACAACCATCCTGACCAAGTGATGATGATTGAGGCAAATATGTGACCTCTAGAGTGTTAACAAGGTTTTTCTATTTTTAGCTCTTGTGACCTAGTTTCTCATCCGAGATGACCCATGTTCGAACTCATCTGAGCTATCAACTAGATAAGCATCCTGACCAAGTTTGATGATGATTGAGGCAAAAATGTGACCGCTAGAGTGTTAACAACTAAATGTGAACGGACGACGGACGGACAGACGGACGACGGACAATCATCAAACCTAAAAGCTCACCCTTAGCATGCTCAGGTGAGCTAAAAATCAAGAAATGTTTGAAACAAAAAAGTTAAAATTTGAACCAAAAACATTACATGATTCAAGTATAAATGTTACATAAAATCAGGTCAAAGAAATGAGTCAGTTACTAGGTTCAAATGAATAAAATAAACTTTTTAGTGATGGCAGTCACAGTTTGAACGTAAGCACATACGTCAAACATCATTATCACATTTGCACTGCTGAGAATTAAAAAAAGAAGGAAAAACAAATTTAGCTTTTACAATTTGTGTTCTCTTACGCACAGAGACACATATTGAAATTGAATCTATTTTAAATTGTTTTTCTGTGGCGTACTTAATTTTTCCCTTCCATAATGTACTTTAAAAGACCAGCGTGTGCATCCGCGCAGTCTGATCAGGATCCATGCTGTTTGCTATCATTTTCTCTACTTGTTATAGGGTATGTAAGCGAACAGCATGGATCCTGATCAGAATGTGAAGGTTATATGTTGTAAAATATTTCCAGTTTCGCATTTTTATAATTTGTTGCAAACGGGTACCTGATTAGAACCATGCACGTACTGTACTGCTGGATAATTTGGGGGAAAAAAAAATGAAAAAATAATAAATTAATGAAAACAAAAACAAAAAAAACTTAAAACAACAAAAATCAAATACAACAATGAAAAGAAAATATGTATATTACAATGCATTGCTATAAGCTCATACTAATTTCATATATATTTTATATTTATTTTTATGAAATTGCTTTTAATGCAGTCCACATATTCTTTTGTCTTATTGTCTATTGTCGGAATAGTGTTGCTTATTGCCAATCTTGGATCTTCATAACTAAATAATTATCAAAGTATTTAATGTAAAGTAGGGACGCAAAATAACATGTTAATCATTGCCTTATTGCTTCCGAATTCAGTTATAATATTTCAGTCAACAACACTATTTGCATTTAAAATGATTAAAAGCAAGTGCAGTGCAGCGGGCATCTAAAACATTGTCAAGACTTCAGTGTGATGTATTATTTTAACCCTCGGAATCATTGATTCCATCCACACAGATTTGTCGTTAGTGTTTACTAATGACCTCCTTGAAGATAGAAGAATCAAGTATCTAACAGGTTGTAAGCACATCTTATTGTAAATCGGTCCTGAATAGTCCTCATATTCAGCTTCAATCCTCTTAAAAAGAAAACTAGCATTTTGACCTCATCATTAAATTTGAATTGGATCAACGAGAATGGCACGGTAGAAACTGTCTCAAATGTTTGTTGATGTCATAAGCAATTATAAATCTGGAATAATTTACTATCAAATCGAGATCACTTCCTCTAAAAAATCAAGAAATTTAAAACAAAAAAGTAAAAATTTTAACCCAAAACATGACATGATCAGTATATAGTGTTACAATAAATCAGGTCAAAGAAATGAATCATACAGTTCCAAATCGAATCAAAAAAACTTTACGTGATGGCAGTCCACAGTTTGAAACGTAAGCACATAACGTCAAACATCATTATCAACATTTGCACAGCTAGAAATAAAAAAAGAAAAAACAAATTAGCGTTACAGTTGTTCTCTTTACGCACAAGGCCTTTATTGACATTGATATTTTAAATTGTTTCGTGGCGACTTATTTTCTCCTTCATTATGTACTTAAAACCACAAGAATATGTTCGCACGAAAATATAATAAATTGTAAATCGCCTGTTATTGGCTCCGAGCAATTGTTTTTTTTCATTTTAAGAAACTTGACAACGAATGATCCAATTCTATATGTGAGTAGCATCTGAAAACAAATCTTCAATGTTCTTTAGCAGAATAGTTCTTTCCTCAGAATATAAATGAGCCGAGCGTCATGACAAAACCAACCTAGTGCGTTTTGCGAACCAAGCAATGGATCCAGACCAGCCTGCGCATACCGCGCAGTTCTGATCAGGATCCATTGCTGTTCGCTATCAGTTTCTCTACTAGTTATAGGGTTCGTAAGCGAACAGCAGTGGATCCTGATCAGACTGCGCGGATGTGCCAGGCTCGGTCTAGATCCATTGCTGGTCGGCATAAAACGCATTATGTTTGGTTTTGTCGTGACGCGGCTCAAAAATGTTACGGAAAGATGACATATCAAGAGCCATAAAAAACTTCCAATGAACGTCAAATTATTAGAAACAAATATTTTGAATCATAGTTTGGTTTTGTCAATTGACTGTCCTTAATATTTGGATATTGTTTTAAAGATATAGTACAGAAGCTGGTGTTCCGCAAACATCCCGAAATCATGTTCGTTCCTTTTCTTTCTTTCCTTGTTTCTGTACTTTGCAATTCTCATATGCATATGCTTTTGGTAATGAAACTTTCTTACGCAAATATAATTTATACTACCCAATAAGTACATTTGAGCCGTGTCATAACAAAACCAACATAATAGGTTTACGACCAGCATGGATCCAGACCAGCCTGCACATCCGCACAGTCTGATCAGGATCCATGCTATTAGCTTACAAACCGTATAACAAGTAGAGAAACTGATAGCGAACAGCATGGATCCTGATCAGACTGCGCGGAGGCGCAGGCTGGTCTGGATCCATGCTGGTTGCAAACCCATTATGTTCGTTTTGTCATGGCGCAGCTCAAATAGTAAATTATACACTGATTCTATTTGACTTGTATATATATAACATGTATAATATTTTTGAACTGAATCACTGACTGTTCTAGTACATAAAATAAATCCATGTTTTATGATTATTTTTTTCTTACCTGAACTGGAATTTCCCTTTGACTCAAGGAGCGTATGTATTCAATTAAAACAGCAACTTTGAACTTGTAAGGTATTTCCTGAAAAAGTCAAAATTTAGTACATAGGTTAACTGATGATAAAGTACCATTATCAAAACGTGTTGACAAAAAAGCTGTAAGGGTCATTATTCAAGCTTTCCAGCTCAAAGTTTGTCATTATGAAAGAAACCCTTTAAATCATTTCAACAGCATAAATATTGTGCTTAAGTTTTAGACTGATAAAAAACACTAGGACTATCAAATTAATAAAAACATGTACATGCATAATCATAATATCACAATCTTTTCATAAGCTTTGATTATATCTTTGTCACCTCCATTTTTAAACAATTTTGCTTGCACAATGGAAACCAATTTTCCTCTACAAAGCCATGTTTGCATAACTGCCTTGTATACAGGTTATATCTGCGATAAAAATAACAATAAAGTAATATTATACTACACAATCTTTCAAAAATTTTACTAATAATCCGGTCACATATTCACAGAAAACACCCACGGAAGAGCCAGGGATTAATTCCTGCATCGTCCGTAGCTACCCTTACTGGTCAGCAGCTCTCTGTATTGTAACCATAATCAATCGTAGTAGTCCTTGTATATCCGTATTGATCCTTGACAATTTTTGAAACATGCACATCAAATATGACCCATTAGAGATTAAGAGCAGGTATGCTGTATCAAGTATTACCCATTAGAGATTAAGAGCAGGTATGTTGTATCAAGTATGACCCATTAGAGATTGACAGCAGGTATGCTGTATATAGTATGACCCAATAGAGATTAAGAGCAGGTATGCTGTATATAGTATGGCCCATTAGAGATTAAGAGCAGGTATGCTACATCAAGTATGACCAATTAGAGATTAAGAGCAGGTAAGCTGTATCAAGTATGACCCATTAGAGATTAACAGCAGGTATGCTGTATCAAGTATGATCCATTAGAGATTAAGATCAGGTATGCTGTATCAAGTATGACCCATTAGAGATTGAGAGCAGGTATGCTGTATCAAGTATGACCAATTAGGAATAGGATCAGGTATGCTATATCAAGTATGACACATTGAAGATTAAAAGCAGGTATGCTACATCAAGTATGACCCATTACAGATTAAGAGCAGGTATGCTACATCAAGTATGTCCCATTAGAGATTAGGATCAGGTATGCTTCATCAAGTATGACCCATTAGAAATTTAGAGCAGGTATGCTACATCAAGTATGACCCATTAGAGATTAAGAGCAGATATGCTGTATCAAGTATGACCCATTAGAGATTAAGAGCAGACATGCTACATCAAGTATGACCCATTAGAGATTAAGAGCAGGTATGCTGTATCAAGTATGACCCATTAGAGATTAAGAGCAGATATGCTACATCAAGTATGACCCATTAGAAATTTAGAGCAGGTATGCTACATCAAGTATGACCCATTAGAGATTAAGAGCAGATATGCTACATCAAGTATGACCCATTAGAAATTTAGAGCAGGTATGCTACATCAAGTATGACCCATTAGAAATTTAGAGCAGGTATGCTTCATCAAGTATGACCCATTAGAAATTAAGAGCAGATATGCTACATCACATATGACCCATAAGAGATTAAGATCAGGTATGCTACATCAAGTTTTGTTTTTTTTTGTTTGTTTCATGTTATTAAGGGGAGATAAAATACAAAAAATAAAATCATGAAAGATTTTGAAGGTTATCAAGTTTTTCAAGTTTTCTGATTTAACAAAAGATTATTACCTAAAACTAGAAATGCCTCACTGTAGTGTAGTATAACATATAGCTTATATCAGACCTGACTTTCACTTACTTTCTCAAAGTCAAAATCTCAGCTCAAATCTGAGATTTTTCTCAACTCAGAAACTTAGAATGAGATTTTCCTCAGTTTGGCTTTCACAGCTGTCTTAGTTAGTGAAAGTCGGGCCAGTTCTCATATCCTGCCATAAAACCTTGGAATAAGCTCTCACAAAATGTAGTAAATGCAAAAAAATATAACTGAATTATAGCAAGCTAAGAGTGAACAGTTTCTGGCAATGAATCTTGAAGCTTCTAAAATAAAATCTGACCTCTAAAATGTTTACAATTTTCCTATTATGATTTGACTTTATCCCCTTTGTCAAAAGACATCTAGAATCATGACATCTACTGTAAAGGGTTTTAAATTCACTGGCATTGTATTTTCCTTTATACCGATAGTAACTTATTCACAGCTTCATGAATTCCAGCATTTTTCTTAAACGCATAAGCTAAATTTTCGCGTTCTTGAAATAAAAAGATCAGGACACTTGATTGTAAAATTTCATACTGAACCATAATGTTCTGATAATACGCTAATGCCATTTATACATATCTAAAATTAATATGAGCCGCTCCATGACAAAACCAACATAGTGCGTTTGCAACCAGCATGGATCCGGACTAGCCTGCGCATCCGCACAGTCTGATCCCGGATCCATCCATTTTTGCTTTTACAAACCTTCTATAACAAGTAGAGAAAACTGATAGCGAACAGCATGGATCCTGATCAGACTGTGCGGAGGTGCAGGCTGGTCTGGATCAATGCTGGTCGCAAACCCACTATGTTGGTTTTGTCATGACGCGGCTCATATCAATAAATGTAAGAACTTCCGTCACAATGGTTGACAAACACGTGCCACAAAATGTCTATTCTAAACAAACTGATATGATCAAGAGGTCACTTGCTTTAGCTGGACTTGATGAAAAGAAATTATCAGTAAACTGTCCTGCGTGATAAACTTTAACTGTACAATCTAACTGCTATATGCTTAAGGCGTTTATACTACAGAAATTAAAATATACATGTTTAAGGTTTTCATTTGCTGTGATAACTGTACATTTTGTGTGACTGTGTGTACTAAGTCGATGTTTATGTCAAAGATTGCCTTGTGAATTAAAAACAAGAGGGCCATGATGGTCCTAGATCGCTCACCTGACCCATCAAACTCATCCGAACAATTACCTTGACAAGCATTCTGACCAAGTTTCATGACAGGTGAGTCAAAAATGTGACCACTACAGTGTTAACAAGGATTATCCATATTTGAGCAGTGTGACCTAGTTTTTTACCCAGGTGACCAATATTCAAACTTGACCTAGAAAACATCAAAACAAACTTTCAGACCAATTTCCAGGATACTTGGATCAAAACAGTAGCGACTAGAGTGATAACAAGATTTTTCTATTTTTAGCTCCGGTGACCTAGTTTCACATGCGATTTCAAACTCATCCAATCAATTACCTAGACAAGCATCCTGACCAAGTTTGATGATAATTGAGTCAAAAATGTGACCACTAGAGTGTTAACAAGGTTTTTCCATATTTGGGCAGTGTGACCTAGTTTTTCATCCGAGATGACCCATGTTGGAACTTGACTTAGAAATCATCAAAACAAACTTTCAGACCAATTTACAGGATATTTGGATCAAAACAGTAGCCACTAGAGTTTTAACAAGATTTTCCTACGACGGACGACGGACAATCATCGATCATAAAAGCATGCTCAGGTGAGCTAAACAAGAGGGCCATGATGGCCCTGAGGTCGCTCACCTGTATATAGGCCCCCCCCCCAAACGTTGCAGGGCCAATTTAACCCAAGGGCTTTTATTTACACAAACTTTGTAGACACACATAAGAAGATGTTTCATGCTAAACATCTAAGCTCTAGCTCATTGGGCTTTTTAAAAGAAGATTTTTTTTAAGTTTTTACTATACACATATAGTTAAAAACAATGACACCCCTGGGGCCGGGCTAGTTTTGACCCCAGGGCTTTTATTTGAACAAACTTTGTAGACACTTACTAGAAGATGTTCATGCTTAATATCTAAACTCTAGCTATTTGGGTTTTTTCAAAGAAGATTTTAAGTTTTTGCTATACACATATAAAGAAAATCAATGACCCCCGGGGCGGGGCCAATTTTGACCCCAGGTCTTTTATTTGAACAAACTTTGTAGACACTCACTAAAAGATGTTTCATGCTTAATATCTAAACTCTAGCTATGTGGGTTTTTCCAAAGAAGATTTAAAGTTTTTGCTATACACATATAAAGAAAATCAATGACCCCCGGAGCGGGGCCAATTTTGACCCCTGGTCTTTTATTTGAACAAACTTTGTTGACACTCACTAAAAGATGTTTCATGCTTAATATTTTAACTCTAGCTATTTAAGTTTTTTCAAAGAAGATTTTTTAAGTTTTTGCTATACACATATAAGGAAAATCAATGACCCCCGGGGCGGTGCCAATTTTGACCCCAGGGCTTTTATTTGAACAAACTTGGTAGACACCTATTAGAACATGTTTGATGCTTAATATCTTAGCCATAGCTCTTTGAGTTCTTTAAAAGAAGATTTTTTAAGATTTTACTATATGCATATAGGGAAAATCAATGACCCCCCGGGGCGGGGCCAATTTTGATCCCAGGGCTTTTATTTGAACAAACTTGGTAGACACATATTAGAACATGTTTCATGCTAAATATCTTAGCTCTAACTCTTTTGGTTCTTTAAAAGAAATTTTTAAGTTTTTACTATATGCACATAGGGAAAATCAATGACCCTGGGACCGGCCCCAATTTTGACCCCAGGGCTTTTATTTGAACAAACTTGGTAGACACCTATTAGAACATGTTTTGATGCTCAATATCTTAGCCATAGCTCTTTGAGTTCTTTAAAAGAAGATTTTTTTAAGTTTTTACTATATGCATAAAGGGAAAATCAATGACCCCCCCGGGGCGGGGCCAATTTTGACCCCAGGGCTTTTATTTGAACAAACTTGGAAGACACCCATTAGAACATGTTTGATGCTAAATATCTTAGCCATAGCTCTTTGAGTTCTTTAAAAGAAGATTTTTTAAGTTTTTACTATATGCATATAGGGAAAATCAATGACCCCCCGGGGCGGGGCCAATTTTGATCCCAGGGCTTTTATTTGAACAAACTTGGTAGACACATATTAGAACATGTTTCATGCTAAATATCTTAGCTCTAACTCTTTTGGTTCTTTAAAAGAAGATTTTTTAAGTTTTTACTATATGCACATAGGGAAAATCAATGACCCCTGGGACCGGGCCAATTTTGACCCCAGGGCTTTTATTTGAACAAACTTGGTAGACACCTATTAGAACATGTTTGATGCTCAATATCTTAGCCATAGCTCTTTGAGTTCTTTAAAAGAAGATTTTTTAAGTTTTTACTATATGCATATAGGGAAAATCAATGACCCCCCCGGGGCGGGGCCAATTTTGACCCCAGGGCTTTTATTTGAACAAACTTGGTAGACACCCATTAGAACATGTTTCATGCTAAATATCTTAGCTCTAGCTCTTTGGGTTCTTTAAAAGAAGATTTTTTAATTTTTTACTATATGCATATAGGGAAAATCAATGACCCCCCCGGGGCGGGGCCAATTTTGACCCCAGGGCTTTTATTTGAACAAACTTGGTAGACACTCACTAGAAGATGTTTCATGCCAAATATCTAAGCTCTAGCTCTTATGGTTTTTTTAAAAGAAGATATTTAAAGTTTTTTCTTTCAGTTGCCATGGCAACCAGAGTTCTGCATGAAATTAAATTCTTTGAACAATTTTTAAAGGTGACCACCAAAGGAACATTCCTGTGAAGTTTGGATGAAATTGGCTTAGTGGCTTATGAGGAGATGTCATTTAAAGTAAAAGTTTACGGACGAACGGACGGCCGGACGACGGACGGACGGACGCCGGACGAAAAGCGATCACAAAAGCTCACCCTGTCACTTTGTGACAGGTGAGCTAAAAAATGAAACCATTTTATTTCTTAACATACTTATATTGTTCTTGTATTGGGATACTTATTTTCTAATATTTACAACATTTATACTGCAAAATGAATTTTGTGTAAAACTTAAAAACTTTTTATGAATAACACAATAATTGTTACACAAATAGTGGTTTTTGAAATCAAAAGATTTTTTAAAAAGCGGATATGGAAGAAAATCAAAACCATGAATCAACTTCCCTATATACAGTAGCACATACAAGCCAAAACTTAAACCAATTTCCAATTTGTAATAAAAAGAACTTACAACATTATCTTCTAGTACAGAGAAAACACAGGTGTACATGTCTGATTGATCAATGATTACCCTCCTGTATACATCTGGTTGACTAGCAGTTTCACTGGCCTGTCAATTAAAATGGTATAACATTTAAAAGGGCTGAATGACAAAAGAAAACACATTAAAATGGCTTACAGTTTAACTGGCCTGTAAATAAAAAGGTTAAAGCATTTAAAAGACAGAACAACAACAAAAAAAAACATTAAAATGACTTCCTAGCAGTTTCACTGGCCTGTAATTTTTTTTGCTCCTAATTTTGATTTTATGCAGTTTTAGGTTACATTTTTTTTATTATTCCCAGCAGATCCCTAAGTTTCATAATTATGAAATAAGGGTTTTCGTTTAGATATGCACTGACCAGGGCCAACATTTCTGCCTTCATGTGATTGTTGTGGACCTGATTTAGCATATCTACAAAACAATAAATCAATACGGATGATCTAGTGGTAATCTGAATATATACACTTACCAGGGCCAGCATTCTGCCTCCAAATAAGTTTTGTAGACCTGATTTAGCATATCTACAACACAATAAATGAATACTGATGATCTAGTGGTATTTTGAATATATACTTACCAGGGCCAGCATCTCTGCCTCCAAATAAGTTTTGTAGACCTGATTCAGCATATCTACAACACGGGATATCACAGGTAGCCTAGCTTGCTGCCCTGGTAACAGCATCTGTCTACATACATCTAGGATAACACTTTTACTGTTCTGTCTTTGAAGAAGGAACTTAATCAAGCGACACTGCCAAAGAAAATATAAATATAATGGTATAATATGAAACTATAGGGCTCACCTAAGAAAAAGGTCAAAAAGTTTAAGTGGAGCCCCTTTCACCCTAGAAGAAATAGCAAAAATCAAAACATCGCGAAAAATACAGGATATACAGTATGGAAATCAATGACCCCTGGGGCTGGGCCAATTTTTACCCTAAGGCTTTGATTTGAACAAACTTGAAAGACATCCACTAGAAGATGTTTTATACAAAATATCTAAGCGCTAGCTCATTTGGATTTTAACTATATACATGTAAATATAAGGAAAATCAATGACCCCCTGGGGCAAGGCTTATTTTGACCCTAGAGCTTTTATTTTAACAAACTTTGTAGACATCCATTTGAAGATCTTTCATGCTTAATATCTAAGCTCTTGCTCTTTGGTATTTTTTTTTAAAGAAGATTTTTTTTGTTTTTACTATAGACATGTCAGGAAAATAAAACCTGTGGGGCTGAGCCAATTTTACCTTGGGGCTTTTATTTGGACAAATCTGGTTTTTTCTTTTGGTTGCCATGGCAACCAGACTTCTGCATGGAATTAAATTCTTTGAATAATTTTTAAAGATGACCACCAAAGGAACATTCCTGTGAAGTTTGGATGAAATTGGCTCAGCAGTTAATGAGGTGATGTCATTTAAAGTAAACGGCCAGACCCCTGAAAAAAAGCGATCACAAAAGCTCAGTGACAGGTGAGCTAAAATGGAAACTAACTTTTCTCAAATCTTGAATATCACCAATAACTAAACATCTCTGCTGTATATCTTTAATGTCTGCTTTTCAAACTGGAAAAACCCATTGATCACTTTCAGAGCAAATTTCAAAACAAGAGCCATGTCAACATGGCCATCCCCCGCCGAATGTGTTTGCTCATTGGAAGAATGTATATGTAGTAGAGCGGAATAATTCCATTTTAAGAGGTCTTTTGGTAATGAAATCTGATGGCTATAGTGATTACAGATTTGAAACCTGATGGCTGAAAATAACAAAGGGCAATTACTGAAAAATAATGCAGGGTAAGTTATCATTCTTGTGTGCTGCATCCCTCCTCAGTAAAAAAGTTTCAAAGTGATACCTCAAATACTTTTTGAGAAAAAAATTGAATTGAAAAATTAGGTATGAAAAAGAACAAAGGGCAATAACTCAAAAATTATAAAAGGTAGAGTTATCATTCTTGTGCAGGGCAAACCTCCTGAGTGACATCTATGCACCTATGAAGTTTCATTTTGATATCTCAAAGGCTTTTGAGTTATGCTCTGGACAAAAATTAATTTTGAAAAATAACAAAGGGTTATAACTCAAAAATAATGCAGGGTAGTGTTATCATTCTTAAGCACTGCACTCCTCCTCAATGAGATCCATCCACATTTGAAGTTTCAAGTTGATACCTCAAATACTTTTTGAGATAAGCTCTGGACAAAATAGCATGAAAAAAAAAGGGCAATAACTCAAAAATTGTATAGGGAAGAGTTATCATTCTTGCGCACAACATTCCTCCTCAATAAGATCTATCCACCTATGACATTTCATGTTGATATCTCAAACACTTTTTGAGTTATGCTCCACTCAGGTGAAAAATTAGGTATGAAAAATAACAAAGGGCAATAACTCAAAAATTATGAAAGGTAGAGTTATCATTCTTGTGCACTGAACACCTCCTGAGTGAGATCTATGCACCTATGAAGTTTCATGTTAATATCTCATAGGCTTTTGGAGTTATGCTCTGGACAAAAATCAATTTTGAAAAATAACAAAGGGCAATAACTCAAAAATCATGCAAGGTAGAGTTATCATTCTTGTGCACTGCACTCCTCCTCAATGAGGTCTATCCACCTATGAAGTTTCAAGTTGATAACTCAAATACTTTTAGAGATATGCTCCGGACAAAAATGTCGGACGGAAGGACAGACGGACGGAAGGACGGAAGGACAGACGGACGGACGGAGACTATTTCTATATCCTCCGCCGAAATTTTTCGGCGGGGGATAATAAGTACTGAAGTGGAGACCATGTTCAGAAGCATGGATGTGCTGGTTAATCTTGGTCTACACTGGGCCCATGTGTAGAATCAATTGTCACCAGCATGCAAAGACTTAAATCGCTGCATTAGACCCTCAATAATACTTTATTTTCTAATGTTTTCACATCATATGTTTTTAAAGACTCTTATATACAGGGTGTCCCAAAAGAAAGGGAAATTCTGAAATCATAATAATTTTGCTTTATATTTGACTATTTAAATGAACAATACACCATTTTAAAGGGTAAACTATGAAGTTTAGTAAAAACGGCTACTAAAAATTTGTAATGTTTCGAGGTCATGACGTCATTTCCAAAATAACATATTCTTCAAACTGGCATGTTTGGCACTTAGATCAGCACATTTTTGTGGTGAAATAATACTATGAAACTAAACTGTGAGCAGAAAGAACATTTACAAAATTGTGAGCAAGCTTTGAACAGTTAGGATCAGTTGCTAATGCTCCGAAATCTGGTCAACCAAGAACAAGTAATGAAAATGTGAATTCTCTTCGAGATTTGTTAAATGAGAGTGTCAAGTGTCAAAAAGATTGGATAAATAGATTGCAAGATATTGTTACAGACAGATGGACAGACAGATGGATGGATGGATGGATGGATGGATGGAAAGACATCATTTCAATATCTAATAATAATTACAATAAAAACAATATTAAAATACCTTATCTGGAATCATAGTTACTAATGGGACAAGTTGCCGTTCTACATTCCAAAGACATCCTGAAAAATCAAGTTCATTTCCATAATTTATAATTCCCAAAACAATTTGATTTCATTGTATAAAGCAATTTTATTTTATTGTATTTTTTTAGGACAGAAATGTCTGCAAATTTATCTTTTTTATATGTTGGCTTGGCTAATTATCACACATTAATGGTGTCAGTGCATGGCAAAAAGAAAATTGTAGAAATATTTTATTTTCAATATTTACATCAATGTGTTTGGTAAACAAAAATGCCCCCACCCAGATTTCTGTCAGAAACAAATTTTCTAAAAAAGTTTACCCATTCACTCAGTAATGGAAAAAAAAATGCTAAATAAAAACAATGTAAACACAGCTATATAACTTGACAGAGTCATGACTTTTTGTAGCTAAAGATACTTCAGCGAACAGGTTTTATAGTTTTGCTTTACTGTCGCAACGTCAAAATAAAAGCGACATATAAAGTTATGGAAGCCAGAACTAGACTTTTTGTTATTGTGAAAAATGTAAGTTGGCATGTCATTGCTATTTGATGAAGTTGAAAAATATTAAACTTACTTATAGAAGTTTATCAATCATATATAATACAAGACCTAAATCTTGAACCCAGTGACCTCAAACTCCAAACAAACTTTAATGACAACCTCAGGTAAAATGAGGTTAAATGTAAAAATCTATTGTTAGCACAGGTGGCCGACACTGGACCATCCAATGTATGTTCATTCCTAATATGAAACATATCAGTCAATAATTAAAGGTTTGCATAAGCAAATGTGAAGAAATCATTTTTTTTTTGCACACTTGACCATGACCCACTGACTTTTATCTCAATCCGAAGGAAGAAGACCATGCAAGTTATCTGTCAACTAAATATGAAAAACATCAGTCAATAATAGAGGCTGCATAAACAAATGTATAGAAATCTATTTTAGCACTCTCAACCTTGACCCACTGACCCTAACTAAATGAAAAGAAAAAGAACTTAAAAGTTATCTTCCTACCAAACTAAAACTCTGCGAGTCTGATGTGTCGCCTTGTGAACAATGTAGTTTAGGAAAAATGGCCAGGACAAAAATGAAATATGAGAAAAAACAAAGGGCAATAACTAAAAAAATATAAGTGCAGAGCAGCAGTTTCTGTGCACTGCACTTCTTATCAATAAGATCTATCATTCAATGATGTTTCAAGTCCATAGCTTTCATACTTGAGGAGAAATGACCAGGACAAAAATAAAGTAAGAAAATCAACAAAGGGCAATTACTCAAAAAATAAGAAATGCAGAGTATCAGTTCTTATGCACTGCACTTTCTCTTAATGAGATCTATCATCCTATGAAGTTTCAAGTCAATAACTTTTATACTTTCGGAGAAATGGCCTGGACAAAAATTAAGTATGAAAATTAACAAAGGGCAATAACTCAAAAATTAGGAAGTGCAGAGTACCGGTTCTTATGCACTGCACTTCTTCTTAATGAGATCTATCATCCCATGAAGTTTCAAGTTCATAGCTTTTTTAGTTGAAGAGTAATGGCCCGGACAAAATTAAAGTATGAAAGTTAACAAAGGGCAATAACTCAAAAAACAAGATTGCATTTGAGAAAATGCTATGCCACCGCATTAATACAACACTAAATAGAAGTGTAGGAACAAATACTGTTGAAGAACGGGTCTTTTATTAACCTCGTATATTGTCTGGATGAGCCGGTACCAATGCAAAACCAACGTATTACTATAAACTGCTAGCATTCCCTTGCAGAAAGATAAGCAGACGACAGCCTAAATTTCATGACTACATCAAAGGACAACACAGTAAGACACTTTGTCAAAATCTAGGTCAGCTAATATCAAAGTTCACTTTACATCTTAATCTGTGCACATGGTTCAAATTTTATAGCTGTACATCAAAGGACAAGAAAGTAGGTCTTATAATCAAAATCTAGGTCACTTGATATAAAAGCTCAATTTTACAACTAAAACTGTGCACATGGTCAAAATTTCATTGCTGTACATCAAAGGACAAGAAAGTAGGTCTGACTGTCCCCTTGGGCAAGGCAAAATTTTGACCAATGGGTTTAATTCATAACAATCTTGATACAGGTCCACCAAACAACATTTCAAGTCAAATATCTAAGCTGTAACTTTCTCCCATTCAGAAAACATTTGTTTTATTTTCTGTTTTTATT